CGGACGGCGCGGAGAGCGGAGCGCGGAGCGCGGAGCGGGAGCCGGACGCCGCCGCCGCCGCCACCTGCGCGGCCGCCAGCAAGGTAGGGCGGGACCGAACCGGGCTGCAGCGGGACACGGGCTGCGGCTTGGCACCGGGAGGGATGCTGCGCCGCGGGAACCCGGCGGGGCGCGGGGATCTGGCTTCCAGACCCCCTCCCCCCGCACGACCTTGCACAAAGCCTACGGGCCTCAGTTTCCCCATCGGGATAGCGGTGTGGTGCGGCCGCCTCCTCCGCTGGTGTCTGGGAGCAGCCGCCCCAAGGTGCGGGCTCCCCACCCGGTCCGCACCGCCCCCTCCTGCCGCGGTGAGGCGACCCACCCTGGGCGCGGCGGCCGGTCCCGACAGGCCCTGGTGCCCCTCCGACTCGCGCCGCGGTTCTGTCTGTCTTGGCTGGGTGACCCACGGGGCCTCGGCTTCCCGATCCGGGAACCCAGGATGAAGAAGCATCCCCAGGACCCTGCCCAGAAGACCTGAGGCAGAGGATGGGGCGGGCTGGCTACCACCGCAGCCTCATCGCCTGGAGCTGGAGAAGGAGCCCCCCGCTGGCGATGGCCAGATCTCAGCCACCGACCTGTCAGAACCAGAGCCCAGCAGACACTCACCTGCATTCAGGGAATGGGGAAGGAAGGCCTTAGTCGTGCCTTGGCCAGCTCAGCTAACACAGCCCAGTTCTATGTACCAGCCGGGTGGGACAGGACTGACTGATACAGCCATTTGCCAGGAGGGCAGTGTCTGTGAGGTTGCGAGCAGAGCACCTGTCCGAGGTGCAGTGGCTCCAGGGTCTGTGAATGAAGACCTTTAGCATGGGGCTACGACTTTCTGTTGCATACGCCTTATGATGGGGATCTCATTAGCTGAAACAGCTGGAGTTTGCTCCCACCCACTGCCCTTCCCGTGGTCCTGAGGGGCCCGCACACATCATCTGGCCCTCCTTCCCCATCTAGGGGCAACAGATTGCACCCTGGGGAGCAGAGGCAAGAGGGAGCCTGTGTCTGCCCCAGAGCCTGCCGTTCTGCACATGGTCCAGGGTCTTATTCAAAACTACCTGTATTTCAGGGCAGTAAAGTGAACTTGAGCTTCCCAAGCCTCTTACCATCTCTTGTGGAATCTGGAGAGAAGGCACTATACCTTCCCTGAGCCTTCCTGCCTTTGCATCTACCCTCTGCCTCACTTTCTGCCCCAATTCAGGAACAGGTTCAGAGTCTCTTGTCCTGCCTTTCCCCCCACCCAAGACCTTTATTAGGGCTGAAAGAAGGAAGGGGTGGGAGTGGGTGGTGAGCCCTGTGTGTCATCCTAGGTGTTCAAGCAGAGGCTGGGTGGGCCTTCTAGAATGCCACAGGACTCCAGGGCTGAAGAAGAGTGACTGGGACCTTGCCCTGTGTTCCATGCCCCCCCCCACTTGGGGCTTTATGGCAAATGAGTGTTATTATCCCCTCATAAAAGCAGACTAAGTATACGTGCCACCACAAGAGCCCAGCGCCACCCTGAAGGCCTAAGTGCTACCTGAGTCCCCTGTCATCTGCACACGCAAGGAATCTGGGAGGCCACTGTGGGTGATACAGGAGCGAGGCACATTTTGGTTATTACAAAACCATACTGTACTAATACTGCTTAAATGTACTATGGAATTGTGGGTCATCCGACCTGAAAAAGGTGTCTAGAAACTATATTATCCAATCCCCATATTTCATGAGTAGTTATACCCTGTCCCTGAAGGGGATGTGACTGGTAAAAGGCCACACAGCAAACCAGCCAGGAATCCGAATTGCAAGAATTGGGTGGGTGGAATGCAGCTCAGTTGGTTAGAGTGCTTACATAGTATGCACAAAGCTTGATTCTATCCCCAGCACAGCATAAACGTGTAATCAGAGCACTCAGAGGTGGAAGAAGGAGGACCAGGAGTTCAAGGCCATCCTCTACTACAGATTGGTTCAAGCACAGCCTGAGGCATGTCTCCAATTTAAAAAAAAAAAAAAAAAGGAATGATTACAATAACATATAATAAGGGCTGGAGAGATAGCTCAGTGGTTAAGAGCACTGACTGCTTTTGCAGAGGATCCAGTTTCAGGGGATCCGACTCCCTCTTCTGACCTCCTTCGGCACTTACATACATACAGGCAATACACTCATACACATAAAAAAATAAAAAATAGTTTAGAAAGAACATGTAATAAATGAAAGTCTTATTAGTCTATACAGTTAGCAAACTATAAGCATAAAAGGCTGAAACTCTGTGCTAGCAAGGTGGCCAGGATTTGCCTGAGGTGTTTTATTTTGTAGGGTAATCTGGCAGCTGGCCACAAAAATCTGTGAAAATACTCTGTCTGCCCTTTGCTCCTGGGCCTCTCCCTTGGAGACTTTACCCTGAGGAAGTAACTAGAAAGAGAGGTTGTATGCATACTACTATCTTGAAGGCATTGCCTGACAGCATCTACACTCACTGTCCTGTCTGAGGCTCTTTGAGTATTTCATTTGAAAAGAGCATTTCAGAGGCTAGAGAGATGACTCAGTGCTCTTAACCACTGGCTGTTCTTGCAGAGGACCCAGGTTCGAATCCCAGCACCCACATGGTGGCTAACAACCATCCATAACTCCTGTTCCAGGGAATTGGATGCCCTCTTCTTCCCTCTAGGGGAACTGCATGACACAGGTACACTCATGTGCATGCAAGCAATACACTTATACAGATAAAGTAAAAATAATAAAATATTTTTTTTAAAAAGAAAAGAGCATTTCATTTGAAAACAGCAATGTAAAAAAGTAGCAACTGGGGCTGGAGAGATGGCTCAGTGGTTAAGAGCACTGACTGCTCTTGCAGAGGACCTGGGTTCGATTCCCAGGACCCACATGACGGCTACGAACCATCCTTAACTCCAGTTCCAGGGGAATCCGAAGCCCTCTTCTGACCTCCGAGGCATTGAGGCATTGCACGACACGGGTGCACTCACATACATGCAGGTAATACACTCATACACATAAAATAAAAATAATAAAAATAAAGTATTTAAAAAAAAAAGTAGCAACTGCCCAACTTTGGCTGGCAGAGGAGCAGCGTCCAGAGGAAAGACCCCAAGACAAGATGGCAGACATAGACTCCTTCTGCCCTACTATGTGACCTTAGGCCAGCCTTCCCCTCGATTTAGGACCTCACTTTCCCCATCTCTGAAGTGGGCGTGGTCTTGGTGCTGGCTGGCCACCTGCGGGATGGACTTAGCATAGCTTTGTATCAAGTCTTTTAGAGGAGGAGCAGAGGGCTCTGAATGACCAGAAGGTGTGCCAGCCTCCCTCCCTCCCTCAGAGATAAGTGTTCCCTCAGGGAGGGCTGCCAGCTCTCTCCATGGGGTTCTGCTTGAAGTTTTTGCTCTTTTCAAATAGCCCTGGTTCAGACCTTGCGGAGCTTTTCAAATCCATGTCCATGCTGTGATTTTCAGCCCTTCAAGACTGGGAGGAGGCACTAGGCAATCACACTTCATTTGAAGGGCCAGGTGACCTTACTGTCTCCTGGGACCTCCTAGGGAAGGACCTACACAGTGCTATGGGAAACACATTAGCTTAAACCATGCCAAAACAGTCATAACGAACCTTCTTTTTTATTTGACTTGCAAAAAATAACAATTTTGTATGGTTCAGCTAAGTGGAAAAAGATATAATTAAAGATGTAATTACTGTTCCTTACTATAATCCAGCAATGGCGGGTGTGGCACGGACTAGGAGGGTGTGATTAGGAGGCTGAAGGAAGGAGGTAGGCCAACTGAATCAGCCTTAGAGAATCAATAATGGTGTTGCTGTCTGGTGAGCCCTGACTACTCTTGGCTTTACAGCAACCTTCACTGGGTCCTTCTCCAGTGTTTACCAAGCAGCCCCACTATAAACAAGGAGCTTACAGTCAAATAGGGACAGAAGGCACATCACAAAGGAGATGACCAAAGGAAACTAGGGGTGGGGACAAGGTGGCAAAGGAGTGTGACTGCAGAATGGAAAGAAAGAGGGTTGGAATTTCAAGCAGATATCCGAGGGCTCACTAAGGTGACTTGGGCAAAGGCTTGAAGGCATGAGCTTGGCTAAACTCTGGGGGAAGAGCTGTCCAGGTAGAGGAATAGCCAGTGCAAAGGCCCTAAGGTAGGACCATCCCTGGAAGACCAGGCTAGAAGAGTGAGGGAGGAAGATGAAGAGACAGGGCAGAGAGGCCATGGACCTGATTGTCTAACCGCCCCTCATCCATGTACAGTATGGAATCCTACAAGTTTGTGAAGGAGGTACTATTTTTATGCCACTTTTTCATTTAAAAAGCAAAGGTACAGAGAAGTTCAGTAACTTGCTGAATAATATCTTGGGTGAAAAGCCCAAGGCAGTAGGGAGCCATAGAAGGCTTTTGAAGAACGCAGGGCATAGCCACACTTTGGGTGCTAGCCTGATTTCCCCCCAGATTGCTATTGTCCAGATGTTCCCACCATTGTCGAGATAATTTGTTGAGACCCTTTCCCCCAAATTGATGGCATGGTGGAGGTGATTAGATCCAGAAGGCTGGCAGGACATTTGTGATGAAGGACATGCCCTGGCCAAAGAGGTCCTGAGAGACAGCCCTTCCACACCCTTCTGTGAACCCGGAAGCTGGCCCTCTGTCACACTCCCAGTCTGCTCCCTTATCTTGGCCGCCAGCCTCCAAAACTGTGAGAAATTCGCAGTGTGTTTCACAGGCCACCAGTTCATGGTACTTTGTTACAAGCCAGAGTTGTTAAGACAGGACACAGAGGGGGCTGTCACAGGAGTCCAGGTCTGGGTGAGCTGCTGAACTCTGTGTTTACAAAACAGTGCAGGACCTGGCAGGTTGAAGAGGTGGGAAAGAAGAAGCCAGGCTGACTGGGCCTCTTAACTGAGCTCTCATGTTAGTATGTGTAGAAGGTGGAGTTTTCACACTCCTTACCTCACTCCTTATAAAGTCCAGGGTGGGGTGTTGAGAGGGTTAGGGGTGGATGCAATTAGTTATGAGAGGGTTAGGGGTGGATGCAATTAGTTATTAGCCCTTTTTCTCTGTGTGTG